CTTTTCCTTTCTTACCTGGGCTTGTCCAGAGGCGAGAAGAGCAGTTGTCACCTTGTCTGCCGGGGTCAGACCATGAGCGTTAGATGTGTCTAACGGCCAGGAATGACAGAGGTTTCTGCAGAGCTGGTGGGGCAGAGCAGCACAGGAATGACAGAGGTTTCTGCAGAGCCGGTGGGACAGAGCAGGCTGCTGTCACGCTGGGGCACTGCAGGACGCACCGGGGGGACACTGGGGTGGTGGCACCGCTGGTGGCTGGGGCTCTGGAGCACGAGGCCCCGCTCTGTCTCCCTGCAGCACAAGTACACGTCGATCGCGGAGGTGCAGGTGCACATGGAGGACGAGTATCTGCGCTCCCCGCTCTCGGGGGTGAGTGTGGGGTGAAGGGGGACACAGATCCCTGCGTGGGAGCTGCGGGTGCTCGGATCTGCCAGGTCTTTGGGCATGGAGCGGGTGGAGGCTGTCCTGGGCTCCTGAGAAAGGAGTTTCTCCAGGGGCAGAGTGGGGTTGTGCTGGGAACGGGGAGTGTCCTGGCTTTGCCGTGGGATGGGGGAGCCTGGGGCTGGCCCGGCCCTGCTCTGCGGGGTGCTCTTGGTGTGAGGTTGTCTCGTGTCTTTGGTGCCAGGGGGAAGAGGAAGTGGAGCAAGTTCCTGCCGAGATCCTGTACCAGGGCCTGCTGCCGAGCCTGCCGCAGTACATGGTGAGCGGGGGAGCTCCGTGGGACCCCCGGGCCCTTCCCTCTGTCCCTCAGGCTCACCTGGAGGTGCCTGCTCCTGGGGGGTCTGTCCTCTGCCCCTTTCCAGTGATGCCCTCCAGGTCTTCTCTCCTAACATGTACATTCTTGTGCATGTTACTTTATCCTGTGACTGGCCGGGTGGGCCATGCCTGGTCTCTCCCATTCCCTGGTCCAGCTCTTGCTTCTCCTCAGATTGCTCTGTTGAAGATCCTCCTCGCTGCAGCCCCCACTTCCAAAGCCAAGACGGACTCCATCAACATCCTGGCAGACGTGTTGCCAGAGGAGATGCCGTGAGTGACCCTGGAGGTGCCAGGTGGCAGCAGTAACGCGGCAGAGCGCGGGTTGGAGCCTGGCAGGGTGCAGCAAAGCTCACAGGGCAGCGCCAGGCTTGGCCTCCTTCAGCTTGGGAAGCTCCTCTGCCCTCCGTGTTTCCCAGTGGACCCGGTTTCCACAGGATGCAGGATTTGCCTTTGCTGATTGTGGTGACCTCATGGCACTGTTCAGCAGTGTCCGCGTGGCTCCCTGGTAGTGGCTGCATCCCGAGGGCAGGGAGAGCAGCTCTGAGTGCTGCACGGAGGGGCTCGACCTTGTGTTTTGGGGGTGAAGTGCAGCCAGTGGCCACTGTTGGGTTGGTAACCTGGGATTCATAGAATCATAGAATGCTTAGGGTTGGAAGGGACCTCTAGAGATCATCTAGTCCAACCCCTGCACACGCAGGGTCACCTAGAGCATGTGGCACAGGACTGCGTCCAAGCGGGTTTTGAAGATCCCCAGAGAAGGAGACTCTACAACCTCTCTGGGCAGCCTGTTCCAGTGCTCTGTCACCCTCACTGTTAAGAAATAAGGGACAGGGATTAAGGGACAGGAGGGACGTGGAAGGGAAGGGTGTGTGGGGTGTTCCCCGGGGCTGGCAGGGTGCAGACAGTGTCCCAGCCTGAGGGTCCCTTCCTGTCCCTCAGGACCACGGTGCTGCAGAGCATGAAGCTGGGGGTGGATGTCAATCGGCACAAGGAGATCATCGTCAAAGCCATTTCCGCCGTGCTGCTCCTCCTGCTCAAACACTTCAAGCTCAATCACATTTACCAGGTGAGGAGGGCCGGGGTCCCAGCACCCTGCCAGGGGGCTGGGGACCCCCCAGGGTGGCTCCCCGCTCACCTGCCTTTGCTCCCAGTTCGAGTACATGGCCCAGCACCTGGTCTTCGCCAACTGCATCCCGCTCATCCTCAAGTTCTTCAACCAGAACATCATGTCCTACATCACGGCCAAAAACAGGTAGTGGAAGGAGGCCGCAGGGAGCCCAGCTGGGTGCGGGGTGGGGGCTCCCTGCTTGCTTTGCTCCCCGCTCCATGGGGCCTCCCTGGCCATGGCTTGGACGCAGGCAGGCGCCAGGGAAGTGCCCGTCAGAGTCCCTGTCCTGTGGGATAGGGCTGCGTCGCCCCTACCCCAGGTGGGAGCAACGTTTCCCCCCTCGTTTCGGCAGCATTTCCGTCCTGGACTACCCGTACTGCGTGGTGCACGAGCTGCCGGAGCTGACGGCCGAGAGCCTGGTAAGCTGCTTCCTCATCCCCCAGGCCCGTGGACACGCTCAGCAGGCCGGGTGGCTTCTTGGAGGGGACAGGGCCGCGTCACCCTGCCCTGGCACCCTGGCAGCTCCTGGGCGTTCGGTGGGGACCGCGGGTGCCTCCGATCCACCAGCTTGGCCGGGCGGGGATCCTCGGAGCGGAACGGCCTCCCCGCTCCGATCCCTCCCTGTTCCTTCAACCTTTGCTTTCCCTGCAGGAAGCCGGAGATAACAACCAGTTTTGCTGGAGGAACCTGTTCTCCTGCATAAACCTCCTGCGCATCCTCAACAAGCTGACCAAGTGGAAACACTCGCGCACCATGGTGAGGCGGCGCCGCTCGCTCGGCAGCGCCGCGCGGGACGGCCCCGTGCCGCCCTCCTCACCCTGCTCCCCTCCCGGGGGTGGCTTTGCCCGCAGATGCTGGTCGTGTTCAAGTCGGCGCCCATCCTGAAGCGGGCGCTGAAGGTGAAGCAGGCCATGATGCAGCTCTACGTGCTGAAGCTGCTCAAGGTGCAGACCAAGTACCTGGGCCGCCAGTGGAGGAAGAGCAACATGAAGACCAGCTCCCAGAAAGTTCTTCACCGCCTCAACGACGACTGGGCCTACGGCAATGGTGCGTCCTTTGCGCCGCTGCCAAGCGTCCTCTTGTCCTTCCTGCCCCGCGTGGGGACGCGTTGGAGCCACTGCTTCCCCGGGCTGGGCTCTGGGGGTGGATTTGGGGTGGCAGCGGAGGGGGAAGGGGTTGGGGCTGATGGATTTGGCTGATGGGCCACCAGGGAGCTCCCCTCTGGCCCCCTCTGCTCTGCTGAGGCTGCACTGGAGCATTGGGGGCAGTTCTGGGCTCCCCAGGACAGGAGGGACGTGAGGCCTCTAGAGAGGGGCCAACGCAGGGACACAAAGATGATGAAGGGACTGGAGCATCTATCGAATGGGGACAGACTGAGTGAGCGGGGCCTGTTTAGCCTGGAGAAGAGAAGACTGAGAGGAGACTTGATCAATATGGACAAATAACCTGAGCGGAGAGTGCAGGGAGGATGGGGCCAAACTCTTCTCCATGGTGGCCAGTGACAGAACAGGGGGTCCTGGGCACCAGTTGAAGCGCAGGAGGTTCCCTCTCCATGTGAGGAAGAACTTCTTTCCTGGGAGGGTGCCAGAGCCCTCGCACAGGCTGCCCAGGGAGGCTGTGGAGGCTCCTTCTCTGGAGATCTTCAACCAGCCTGGATGCTCCTGGGTGTCCCCCGTGCCCTGGGTGTCCCTCCTGGAGCAAGGGGGTTGGCCTAGATGGCCCTAGAGCTCCCTGCCACCCTCAGCCCTCTGTGATGGTGTGACCCCCCTTCCCTCCGGCCAGACCTGGACGCCCGGCCCTGGGACTTCCAGGCGGAGGAGTGCGCCCTGCGCGCCAGCATCGAGCGCTTCAACGCGCGCCGCTACGAGCGCGCGCACGGCAACCCCGACTTCCTGCCCGTGGACAACTGCCTGCAGAGCGTGCTGGGCCAGCGCGTGGAGCTGCCCGAGGATTTCCAGGTCAACTACGACCTGTGGCTGGAGAGGGAGGTCTTCTCGCGGCCCATCTCCTGGG